GTCCCGGTTCTGAACGGTTCCGAACCGTTCCGAACCGTCCCGAGTCCCGAACCGTCCCGAACCGTCCCGAACCGTCCCGAACCGTTCCGAACCGTTCCGAACCGTTCCGAACCGTCCCGAACCGTCCCGAACCGTCCCGTCCCGAACGGTTCGGAACGGTTCGGGACGGTTTGGGACGGTTCGGGACTCGGGACGGTTCGGAACGGTTCGGAACGGTTCGGAACGGTTCGGAACGGTTCGGGACGGTTCGGGACGGTTCGGGACGGTTCGGGACGGCTCGGGACGGTTCGGGACGGTTCGGAACGGTTCGGAACCGTTCAGGTTCGGGACGGTTCGGGACGGTTCGGAACGGTTCGGGGACGGCTCGGGACGGTTCGGGACGGTTCGGAACGGTTCGGAACCGTTCAGAACCGGGACGGTTCGGGACGGTTCGGGACGGTTCGGAACGGTTCGGAATGGTTGGTTCGGAACGGTTCGGAACGGTTCAGAACGGTTCCGAACGGTTTGGAACGGTTCCGGACGGTTCGGAACGGCTCGGAACGGTTCGGGACGGTTTGGGACGTTTCGGGACGGTTTGGGACGGTCAGGGACGGTTCGGGACGGTTCGGAACGGTTCAGAACGCTTCGGGGCGGTTTGGAGCGGGTCGGGAAGGTTCGGAACTGTTGGGAACGGTTGGGAACGGTTCGGAACGGTTCGGGACGGTTCGGGACGGTTCGGAACGGTTCGGAACGGTTCGGAACGGTTCGGAACAGCTCGGAACAGCTCGGAACAGCACACAGCTCACAGCCCACCCAACCCCAACCCAGCCCACAGCCCACAGCCCGAAGCCTACAGCAGACGGCCACACCCGACAGCCCAGCCCAGCCCAGCCCAGCCCGCTTGCTTAAATTCTTCTGTCGAAGCACCGCCGAAAAGCACCCAAAATACCCCAGACCCTGCCCTCATCCCACAAAAAGTGACTGCATTTAGCAGTGCTCCGAAAGTTGGCTTGCACCGGAAAGTGCGGCAGTCTTAAGCATTCCCAGGGCTTGCCAACTTAGCATATCTTGAAATATTGAGATCCTCCAAAACTCTGACAGCTGTGGAGCTTGCTACAACTCCAGGTGCAAGCAGTAGCAGACCCTGCCCAGGAGGGGGCCACGATGATAGAGGATGAGGACACGGGGGTTTGTGTACCCGTGCGATGTGCAAGGACCTTTGCGAGGACAGCGGATAACGATCGGAGGATGCATGCAAAAAGGCAGAAGTAGCCCATGTGGAGTAGACTCAGGCAGAGTATCCAGAAATTGATTGAGGAATCTAGCAGGCTTGGCATCGACAATGGAGTTCAGTAAACCTACAGTTTTTTTGAGAGATTATGAGGGGCTCAGGTGTCAAGAAGCTACGCTTCCAAGGGAATTACAGAGAGCAGAATCTACTTCCTACGTCAGGAGGGCCACTTGAAGCCCAAAGTGGAGGATCACCAGAAGGCCCAGAGATGCCCGAAATGTCGAAGATGCGTCTTTCCTAGTTTGCCCGAAGTGCACCTGCAAAAACTGGAGGTCGAGCTGCACGACCAGGGCTGGTTCCATGCAGAGAGCAACCGCTACGAGCAGGATGATTGCACAACTGCAGCAACTCGTAACTTTCAACCTCGAATCCGGGGACTAGGTTGAGAGTGCTGCCGGTGCCATTTGTTGTTCTTCCCCGCCCTACGCGAACTCGCTGGCCTAAGGCTTCAGAATCTACGGCACTCTTTAGGGATGGGCTTTGCATTTAAGTGTTGTCAGACGATGCCTTTTCGCCGGTATAGCATCGATTTTTCTTTTGTGTCATAACTTCTTATCCCCCTTGAAGGAGGAGCTGGCAAAGGCTCGGATTGCTTGTTGCTTCCAGCGGGCTGCGCATGCGGACTACACATCGCCCGAAAGCTAGAAGGACTCATCCAACAAGACTTTATCTCACTCCACGAGCTCGCGAAAAGTGACACTCGGGTAATTCTAGACTACACACAATGCTTTCAGAACGCACGAAAGCCTGCAATGCGACCAGATGCACATCGTCAGCATCTGCGACGCCGTGCGGCAGCGGCAGGCAAGTTAAAAGCGATTCTTTCTCAAGATGTCCAGGTGTTTTTGATTACCGGATGCGGCATTGCCTGAGCCGGCTCTCCGTAGCCTCGTCTACGGAGCGCCCTCTCCAGCCCTATGCCCTGCTCGCGGCAGGGCGTCGGCCTTTGCCGTGATGGGCGCTGGACAAACAGCACCTTTGCAGAAGTTGGGCGTCCAAAGCTTTCGGCAGCAGTGCAGGATTGTGGGATTGTCGGATTTGGGGAAGGCCGTGCGAGGCTAAATCTTCCTACCTCCGAGACAGTGACAAGACTCTCCGCTATCATGCAGGGAAGGGCATGACAGTAAAGATGATGTGCTGGCTCTGTTTGGCGCGCATGGAAAGACGCCAGCCCTAGCTCGCCGGGGAATTTTTCCGTAAATTGGTGACGATGCTGCCGGAAGTGGGAGGCAACTCTTTGGAAGCTGTGAGTTTGGTATGGGAACTGCCTAAATTGTAAGACGCGGAGATCCTTCAGCGGGCATATCTTTCCGACAACGCCAGGCCCTGATCTAGTAGATTCTGTACTTCGCAGCTACCACCACTACTAGTACGTCGCTGCTGCTCCCGCTGCTGCTGCCGCTGCCCGGTGCTTGTTGGCAGCATTCGCAGCTTGAGGCCCGCATGAGTTCCCTGACCTCGGCCTGACTGGCACCGTGCTGTCGAACGTCACTCGGCACGGACCGGTCAGGATCGTTCTTATGCAACCCTCAGCCCATCGACCCAAATCCGTGCGAAGCCCACATATCAAGACTTTGAAGGCAAAGGTTCCGAGATGCCCCATCGACCTACTCTCGATTTGGGTACTCTGCACACCTCCTCTTCTTACGATGCTTTATGTGGACAACTGGAGCAACGATGTAACGGATAAGACCGGAGAAAGAGCAAGACTTCGCAGGATGAGCCAGCCCGCAACCTGGTGTCCACGCTCCTGATTAACAACCTACTATGGCATTCGGCCCCCAAGTGAACGTGTGCCACAAATGGCAAATGTTTCATATGCCGTATGAACCCGTATGAAGTATATGTGGAAAGGTCGTGAAGTGTGCTTTAGGGTCGGTGGCACACGCAGGCCTCGGCTGAGGTTCTGCAGGAACATGTTCAACGAACACAAGAGCTTAGTGAGAGACATCGAAAATCGCGACATGGGGGTTCCCCAGTGTGCCGAGAGGCGTTGGTGCCCTTCCCGCCCAACGATCAGCAGCACTGGCCTCAGCCCATCTCAGCTTTGGGGTCGAGCTGCTTGCAATAGTTCGATGTCGGTTCGAAATAGATGTCTTAAAGCAGAGTGGCTGCGCTTGTACGAAAATCTGAGGATGACCCGGATTTTACCAGCCAACATGCGTGCGGCAAGCCTTCTCAGTACACGGCAGCAAATTTAGCAAGAGCGGTCCTTTCAGGCAGCAAGACTCCCACTCTTCGGGAGCTACCGGGCAAAAACATCAATGCTGAAGAAAAGCAAGCATGAGCACCGTTAACAGGATCTTGAACCAGTGACCAGTGACCTCAAGTGTGTACTAACGATCTAGCACAGGGTAACCATTTCCTATGCCATGTACTTTCAAGTCTTGAAATAGTACAAACATCCGCTATTGGATGCACTTGGTTCAACTCTGAAATGCCTTGGGCTCGAGCATGCCGGTGAAGCCTCGCTGGCCCGGATGCAAACTGCAAAGCCCCAGAAGACCCTGGCTCTGCCCAGGTACTACATCTGTGGCAAATACGACTCAGATGAATCTTTGCTGCGGCCGCCGCTCGGAAGTTTCCATCGCAAGGGCGATCAGCTCACTGGGGGGCATGTGCTTGGACAGGTCGCATACATGAGACTCGCCTCGCTTCGTGGTCACCAACGGTCTTGCGTTTGGTCCTGGTGAATAGTCTACGAAAGCCGGCTTCAGTTGATGCAGATCACACGCAAGGCATAGCAAGGCTCCATGTAGGTCCTGTAGGCGACTGCACAAGCAGACCCGGCCAGATCAGAGAGATCGCAGCTGAGGACAGCGGTTCCCAACTTTGCACATGACGGGCACGGTTCGAGCACGTGGTTAAGGCTCGTCACCTTGTGCGTGACGATGTCGGATGGTATGATCGCAGCACATGGGGTGTCTTCTTCACAACATGTAGCCCTAAACCTCGCCTTGAGCGAGTGTGTGAGTCGAAACCCTTGTTCTTCACCTGATTGAGACCTCGGCGATGCAAGTTGCCTGTCCGCCCGGGTTCGGCAGTTCCATGCGGAAAGTTTGTTCTCAGGACAAAAAAAACCACATAAACATAAACTTTCAGTAATGGGACACATAACTCAGCAACAGCATGAAGATGGCAGGTCTTCGCGAGTCTACCGGTCCATGGCTGTAGGGTTGGTACTGTTAGATCGTAGCGTTGGTTAAGGGGGACAGGTTTATCCCAGTCGCCAAGAAATGTTTGTAAGACGAGTGTTTTCGCTACATGTAAATTCGGTGTAGGATAGATTGGCATGACCTTCGGCAGAAAGGGCTTCCACAGCCTTTACTTGTAAGTTTGTTTTATCATAAGGGTTGGCAACGAGGCGAGAGGTGGAAGACACAGGTTACACCATGGGCTTGAGATTCCTTCAGATGTAGGGTGCAGGATGCTAGCCGGAAGTATTGAAGTCCTTCGTTTGCATTGTTCGGTTGCGATACTCAGTCTTACTGGTAGCTTCTGCAACGATGGTTATCCTCGCAAGTATTGTATCTTCTCTCTAGCAGGAAGCAGCAGAAAAGCATTCCAGTAAGACAGTCGCATGATCCGCCAGTCGTGCTTTCGGGAAGCCCCCATATCAATCTTTAGAAGACTTGTCCACTTTCTGTTGGAGGCTTTCGCATTCGTGTGTTTGCGAAGCTCGCAGCCTCGAAAGTAGTTGATGGTTTCTCGGTAGGTTGTAGTCTTTGCCATGTCAAAACGTCGCGCAGTTTCGAGCCACAACGTCAATTCCAAGCGGCAGAAGACAGGCAAGGAGGTTGTGGCCTTGCTGGAGAGAGAGAAAGCAGAGCAGCAACAGAAGGATTTGAATTACATCCTCGAAACATTGAAGGGCGATCCGGACCGGATTCCTGCAGTGTTGAGCGTTCTGCGTCTGGACACTCCTGCGGGCTTTGATGCTTCCACCCACATCCCTCCCGACTACATCAAGCGCTCCTTCACTCGGTTGCCGAACAAGTTTCTCACAGAGTTCTACGAACATCTGGGGGCATTTGGAGGTGCTGAGCTCAAGAGAATGATAAAGGCCAACAACAAGTGCCTGGTGCAGATTCTGCAGCGGCTTTGCATCATTCCCCCAACGATGACGATCTGGACCAACGAGAAAAGCATCCTGGTGAAGTGCTTCGAGGGTCGCATGAACAGTCTGCAGCTCACACCGTCTGTCATCCATGTTCAGGATGACGACACGATTGATTGGACGAGCAGTGGTATTTTTCAGCTGCTGCCCGTCTATGACAAGTCTGGTGCTGTAGAGGAGTCGGACCACATTTACAAGGAAATCAAATGCGGCTCAGTGGTTGCGAGTTTGAAGACATTTTTGATCGTGACGGCTGCTTGGACCATCAGCATGAACTGGTCGCTAGTGGAGGCCACACTGGTGTGCCCTCAAGATGCCAACGTGGCGCCCAAGTGCACCAGCTTCTTTCAGCAAGGGATGGTTGCAGACCTCATGGAAAAGAACAGTGGTGGACTGCCTCTGGCCATGTCCAGCTCGGCAAAACAGCAGCTTTCGATCGAGGATGGCAGCCCAGAGGCGAAGGATCCGGATGGCCATAAGACTGCAGATGGAAAGGCAACGGGTGTTTGCGTGACACCCACCAAGAGCACAAGCATCGATGTTGGCACGTCAGGGTCCCCGTCCAGCACAACGGCCGGTGAGTCGATTACAGCGTCTCCGCCGCCGGTTCTGCCGTCAAAGGCTGCAGCTGCTCGCAAGCGCCTGTTGGGCAAGCAGTGATCGCCCATGAAGGCAATTCGTGCACAGTGCAGTCTGTCTTGTCTTAGGGAAGCAAGCGCGTTGTAAGAACGGAGTGCTGAAACAAACTAGTGCCAGTCAAAGCATAATCTCGTCGGGAAGCGTGTTTTAGTGTGAGCACCCGTCCGTATGCGTGTCTGTAATGCCCCTTAGATCCCAGGTGTATGTTTGCCCAACCAGTGCCTCCAGGCCGTGCAGCTTTGCAGCACGACTATCCCCAAACCCAAAGTAAGGAAGTTAGCCGCCTTCTTTGACCGGTCCTGTTGCTTATGATCCGCAAACCCCAAAAGAACCAATAACTTGAAGCCTTAGCCTAGCCTTAAACCTGAACCTCAACCTTAAACCCAAAAACCCCTGAACCTTGAACTGTTTAACGGCTCGATAACCATGTCTAATCCGGGGCATGGCGCTTTCCAAGGGAAGCACCGTGAGAAGTGGGTGCTCATGCAGCTGCGAGGTGACTTCCAGCGTCGATGGTTGCAATCCTTTTGTAGCCTGACCTTCATACTGAAGCATTGATCCTATGGTTTTTGTAGCTTTCATTGTCATTTATGTACAACAGCGAAATCCCGTTTCAATCATAGAATCTCAAAGCAGCTGTATGTGCCAGGAGAGTCACCGAGACTCGAGTTTTGCGTTTACAGACATGGGGTCCACGGGTCGTGTTGGGGTTCCTAAGTTTTCTGCTGAAATAAATGCTATAGGGTTCAGGGCCGGAGCGCAAGAAGTCTCACCCAGCAACGCCTCAAAGCCAAGTACGAACTGCCCGAGCGTAGAATAACACAGTCTTTTTTCCACCCCAAATGAACTTCCTTGGGCCTAGGAGTTGTGCCTTCGTTCTTGTTAGCATTCAAACTGTAAATTTCAGTCGCTGTGTGGCTTTGGGCGTTTGACGGCAGCTTTGCATACGCATCGACAAGACCGCTGTGTGTGCAAAAACCGTACGGTCGGGCCACAACGTTGCAAGTGTCGTCCTGCAGTGGAAGCAGCTGCTTTGCGCAGAGTTGCGGAGTTGCGTGTCGCATGTTTCAGCACTTGGCATGACATCACCACTGTGCAGACGTGGCAAAGAGTTTTATCTAACCGAGGTGTCGCTAAGTTGACGAGCGAAGCGGCAACACATGCTTTCTGCAGCCGCTGTTGGCAGGGAGCCAGTGGCGCGAAGAAGGGTAGGCAGCAAAACAACGAAAACAGTGCTAACACAGCAACGCTTGTGCTGAGGCACTCGCGGTGTAGAGCCACTCGAATGTGTTAGTGTTGTCAGAGGCCCAAGCTTTATGTGCTTAGAGAGTCCGTAAAGTTTGTATCTAGAAACCCCAAGAGCCAGAGCAGTGTCGTGGAAACACACGGTTTTTTATAGCGCACTGGCATTGATAATTCGACCATGTTTTGTATCGTTGCGAAGGCGAAGCTGTTGCAAAACATCTGACCACCCTAAAGCAGCAGAAAAGTTTCACTCATGGCCGACGTCTCTGCTGCAACATGCGAGGTCCTCTTTGAAGAGCCCTTGGGCAGATACGTCTTGCGAAAAGTCCGAAGTGAGGAGGTCAAAGTGTTGGATGCTGGTGTCTGGCGGCTTGCGCAAACGGAAGCTGGGGATGCCTATGTTGCCAGTGGCGAAAAGACGCTTTGGTGCGAAGAGCTTTTGGACATCACTGTGCTACAACATCCTACAAAACAGGAAGATTGGGTTTGCTTGCCCGATGGCACGGACATGGGCTTGAAAGAGTTTCGCTGCAGGCATCATCGCATAGAGGTCCCGTTGAGAGTCGTGGGCTGTGCGACAGAGATGTCACTGCCTTGTTTCCTTTTGAAACAGAGCGTAGACGGTTGCAGACTGCTCTGGTCACTCACTCATCTTCATCGTCTGGTGCTGGGCAAAGCGGAGAAGATGACGCCATCGCGCTGGCTGCATAGCTGGTGGCAGTGGTGGCTGAAGCTCGTCACTCGGTTCCACATGGGCCCAGGGCATCTACGAAAAGCAGCAGGGCAAGATGCAGATGACTCGGAAGTTTACCGCATCTTTGAGGTGCCAGTTGTCAGCACGGCCATGCTGTTACTGCTCAGTGCCAGATTCGCAGCAGATTCCCGCGGGAGCCAGAAAAAAAATCAGCAGTCGAAGGATGCCTGGAGCTCGGCTTTGGCGGCATTGCTTGCGAAGTACGTGCCCGAAAATGACCATGAAATCAGCATCTTCTTGGACACAAGCGTAGTCTTGCGAATGGGCATTCATTGTCGAGGTCGTCACTTGGTAGGTCTCCCTGTGCAGAACGGCTTAGTCGACTTGTCAGCTGTCTTCAGCTGCCAGGACGCTGCAGTTGGGAAGAGGCTAGCGGTCTTTGGTCAGGCCCCGCCTCGCAAGCTCACTCTTGCTGACGCTTTGGTCTGGCTGACGAACGGCGGGAAGCAGGTGCAATGGCTTCTTTCACAGTTCATCCACCGGCTCGCTTGCACGATAGAACATGCCATTCAGGAGCAGTTTTCGAGAAGCAGTGCGACGCCGGGGCTTGCGGCTACAACGCCTTCAGGGCAGGAGGAGGAGGCCGAGCAAATCGCAGCAGGACGTGAGCAACGCCAACAGCAAGCGCGACTTCGCAAAGCCCAGACCGGCATCAAGCCCATGCAGCCGATGCCCTTACACAAGGTCCTCTTGAAGTACTTTTACGCCATGCGGAAGAAGATGGCGACCAGTCGAGTGCTCCATGTCGCATTTGATGCATCAAGGGTGGGAGGACTGAGCTCACTGCTGGGCTTCGTGACGAACGGGGCGGGCGGTGCAGCATGGCTGCCGCCACAGGTGCCTTTGCGATGATTAGAAGGGTTTTGTGCTCTTTTCACGACCCACATAAACTTTTCAAAGCCGCGAACATTCGCGCGCCAAGTGCGCGTTTTCCGAGTGCAAAAGTTTGATACTTTTTTTTGGGAACAGCCATTCTGCTTCAAATCACAGGCACATAAACTTTTTTAGCCACGGATGCGTCCGGACGGACATGTCCAGAGGCATCTCGTCTCAGTCTGAAAACTTGTACCCGAAATGCATGCGGAACCCTTAACTGCCGAGATGGCCTTATAGCTGCCAGCTCAGGTGGTTCCCGACCTCGTGACGCGCACGACGCTGGCCCTTGCACACCAGGACGAGGAGGCGTTGGAGAGAGAACGCACGGAGTACGCAAAGCTTGCCGAGGAGTTTTTCCACTCTGCGGAGAAGTCGGAGAAGACAGTGAAGGTCAGGAAGCTGCACAGAACGAAGGTCTGGTCTTGGCTGTGTTCCACAGACCATGCGTTGCAGGTGGCCACGGGCGCAGGGTGGAAGCAGTTCCGCGCATCAGGCTCCCCTGAGACATGGCGCAGCATCACCATCTCACTAGACCAAGGCAGCGACGGATGGTCTGCTGCGCATTTTCTGTGCAGTGAGAAGGTGAATGCCCTCATCATCGGTGACGTGAGCCACAGGACCTGGAACGACTGCCAACTGGCCTTGCACGACGTGAAGCTCAACTGGTTGGTTCTGAGTGTGATCTGTCTTCTCAACAGCGACAGCGGCCCTTGGAACTCGGAGCGATGGTGGCAAAGCTTGAAGCAAAGTGCGGACGAGTACGTACAGGTCGCCTCGCACAACAAGGACCCGCTGTACCTGGCCTACGAAGCAGCCATCGTCGAGGAGCAGACCTCTGGCGATGAGATGGCCGAGGGCACGGCAGACCCGGAGCAGCTCTTCAACAGCATTCCGGATGCTTTTGATCACAAGCAGCAAAAAGTGGGCAAGAGCAGGTGGTTCCAAGTCGCAGTTGCCTTGCGCCACTTCTTGCCGCTCCGAGCCAAAAGCTTGGTGGTCAGCTTGTACCTTTGTTTGAGCTTGGGTCTGTTCAAAAGCGGTCGCGCAGCTGACTTGTTGAAACTGCCCTCCTTAACGCTGGCGGCGACCCAAGACGTGCCGAAGACCAACAACACAGCCACTGATGCAGAGGATGTGCGCAAACTCCGCAAGCAATGCCAGAACACTTTGGTGTTCACGACATCGCTGCTGGCAGATTCCCACATTTGGCAGCGTTTGCGTATCGTGGCCGGCGTACTCGAGCCGGTGCAGCAGTGGCACAGCTGGCAGAACAAGTTGAATCGCTCACCAACAGAAAGCCTCACCTTCTGGCAGCACATGTGCTCCGAAGAGAGTTTCTCGCATGTCAACAGATGTTTGGCCTTGATGAGCGATGTCGACTTTTTGCAGTCAATCAAGGTCACCATACCTGGCCAAAGAGCACTGGAAATCCAGCATCTCAAGACGGAAAGCATCGTGGTCGAGTTGGAGGATGACTTGTGCCATGCTCTAGGAAGCTTGGCTGTGAGCGTCGCCGGGCGGAGGCTGCGGACTTTGTCAGAGCTGCAGGGATACCCTTACAAGTTTCCTGCACTTCTGGGCCCCGCTGCATCGCAAGTGCTGCAGCAGATGCGCCGTGATTGGCAGACTTGGCAATCAATCCAGGATCTGAAAGGTGCTTTTTGGGAGCGGATGCGGAAAAGAAGCTTCTTCAACCAGCTGAAAGTCTTGCAGATCTTTCAGCTCGCAGCGAACGCAGAATGGAAGATGACAGAAACATTGGCTCAGCTCATCAGGCAAGACTGGAGTGGAATCACCCAGACCAAGCTCATCGAAGATGGTGTGCGAGAGGGACGTGTGGCAGAGATGAATCCAGGTTTCAACAAACGAGTCAAGCCAGAGCGCCTGTACGAGAACCTCATTAATGGAGACGTTGCTTGCAAGAAGCATCGCTTCTCGACCTTGGAGTATGACACGGTGACCCTCCCTCGCGGTTTGGCCTCGAAGTCTGGGAAAGGGCTCTTTCACTCAGCTCCAGGCAAGATTCCCAAGGAGTACAAGAAGGTCTGCAGTGAAAAGCAACAGGCAGACTACCACTCTCCTGCACCTATAATGGGAACCATGCCAACAGAAGATTTGATTTTGGTGAGATGGTGCCAAGAGAGGAAGCAGCTGCATTTGGCGAGATGCTGTTTTTTTGCTTTGCTTGTGGTGCCGATGAAGATGCTCATACGTCACAAATCGTATGAGGGCGGAGCTTGGTTTTTGGCTGTGAGAAACTACACGGGCATGTCAGTCATGGCCTTGAAATTGCAAGCAGTTCAACATTCAGGTCATTCCTTCTTTGCCTGCGAGACAGTGACTCGGCCCCATTTCTTGCCCATCGTGGAAACAGAGAGCTGGCAATGCTGCAGCTTCGCCTTTCGAAGTCCTTTGTTCGTCCGTCTTGCAACTGGTGCTTGGTGCGTGTCGCAAGGCAGCTTGATTCAAGCAACGTCTCAGCCCACGAGCTTGCTGAAACTGGCTGCGCAGAACAGCTTTTGGACACTTCCAAAAACTGCCCTAGCTACCATTGGCAAGGAGGTCGGCGTGCAGCTGGACAAGTCTCGGCCTCTCGCTGAGCTCATTCTGTGCTTCGCAGAAAGTATCCTAGGCGCGCTGTCTGATGAAGAAAAGTTGCGTTTGCTCAGGCTGCGACTCCCCAAAAAGGGAGACGTCGAGGAGTGGTTGCTTCAGCAAGAGGATTTGGGAGATCTGCTTGAGAAGGACGATGCGGAGGAGTTGCAGAAGGAGCGTGATGCCCACAATACTGCGAAGGAGGAGTTTGGCCACAGTGTCCGGCAACTTGCTTCAAAAGTCCGACATGCTCGCAAAGCAAGCCAAAGTTCCCGCAAGAGCTCATCGGCCAGAGAAGAACCGGCAGAGAAGAGACGAAGGAGGTACCCGAACAAGGTGCCTGCGATTTGTGAGCAGAGTAGCATTGACAGTTTGAATAGCCTCGTTCCGTCAACCTGCCGCTTCGGAGTCGATCGAATCGACTACTGTTGGCGCTTGAGCGCTTATGGCACTCGATACGGCCGTTCTTGGCAACTTTACGGTGTAGAGGGTGCCGCCAAACAGCTTTTGAAGATCGCTTGGCAGCTGGCAGTGGAAGCAGGGCACGAGGAAAGCTGTCCTTTCCCAGAGCTGGAAGTGCAAGTTGCCCGCTAGTCGCAAGATCCGTGGTTTCATAGGGGAAATCGTGTAAGCTGTTATCCTGTAGGCATTAACCCCATAGCCCCCTCTTAGGTGTAGCAGAGCTTCAACTCGAAAACGGTGCATTTTGCAATATCCATTGTTTAGGCAGAAGATGCGGATAGCGGCGTGACATGGCTGCCAATCCTGTCAGCTCTTTTGAGTTGCAGCCGTGCGGATCTGTAGCAAGGAAGCGTCACAATTCTGAACCGCTTAGTCAACAGAGACGACACACCATAAACTTTGATGCTTTGCGGTTCTACCCACTGAGTCTTGAAGACTTCTGAAATTCTGCAGTATTCTGCAGCTCTCGTGCAAAGAATGCTTCAGACAGCCGGCTTTTGCGATTTTGAGGCTCGCTCCGTCCGTTTACGGCCAATTGTTACTCGAAATAGCTGTTTATGATGTAAACCACAAGATGTATGCTACTAGGATAGCTTTTTGTCGTTGCAGAATAATTCAGTCGTTGTGTAGCTTTCAATCGTGTGGAGCGTTCTTCTGCACTGCAAGTTCCGAGAAGCAGAAACTTCAAATCGAGCTGCCCTTTTCAGATTCGTGGCAGATGTCTGGTGCCACGGTTCTGGCCATCCCGAAAGATACCACCCTTCATACAGCAACAGTAGGGTACTCCTGTAGCTCCGGGTATCATGTCTCAACTTGTTGTGCAACCTAGCTTCAATGCCAGATGTTGGACACAGGATCCGAGCCGTGGAAGCCGCAAATCTTCTTTGCAGTTCTGAAGACGTACTGTGCTGTGTGAACCCAGCATTGCAAAACAATGAGACCGGTCTGGGTAGCAGTACGCGCATACGCAGCCCCAGGGAACTCAACAGCCTGCCGCTTCCCACAGCCCCCAGGTGTCGAGACCAGACGTTCGGTCCGAGGCTGTATGTAGACTGTCCAGCTCCCCAATATCCAATGTTCTCAGACTAGACACATCTTCAATCATTCACTTGACTCCTAACATTCCTTGTTTCAATACGTGTATTTTGCATTTACGAATGGTTCCGTTTTCAGTCTAGCCACCAAGGTTAGTAAACGGTTAGTCGCATCAGATTCTGCAAAGGTTTGTGCTCTCTAGGGCATCGGAAGCGAAGTGCTTTGCGATCCCAAAGCAAACCTAAAGCCAATATTTGGTTATAGACTTGACATACGGTTGTGGTTTGAGTTAAACTTCCTTGAAAGCGCCCTGTAATCTACGATGAACAGATTGCGTGTTGAACAACAGCAGCCCTGCGAAGACATCCAAACTAGAGGTGGAGATGAGCTAATCCAAAAGATGATGCTATGGCCCCAGGCTACTCTTGAGACAATGCCTAGACCCCGTGACATACTGCGTTTGCGCTAGCTGGCACAAGCTGGCTTATTCTAAACTAGCTAGCGGAAGATTGGGTCCAGCAGGACCTGGATTTTGCGGGCTCTTGGGGCCCTTTCGTCTCTTCGCTTGTCCGTTTCTGTCTAGATGTCTAGCGGATTCGTCCCGAAATGAGCGTTTGTTTGTTTATGTGGCTTTTTTGGCCCCTATGTATGTCGGAGGCACCGGGATTTTGATGAATGGCTGCGGAAGTTGCAGTAAATTCCTTAGATCAGTAGACTTAACGCCAAGGTGCTGGACAGTTTCGGTCGTTGTGGTCATCGCTTGGCAGAGACCTCAGACTTGTGAGACATTGCTACAGCCATCACTGACGGAAATCTTGATTTGCAATCCTGTGTCATGATTGAGTGCGCATTGTGAAACCCAGCATGCTTGGCCATGCATCTGGCTTGCAGCCAGGCCTGTAGGAAGCAGAGCAGTTTGAAAGTAGCCCGGGTGCTGAATAGTGATTCATCATGGAAAGCCTCAGTGAAATGGTGGTGCTTGTGGAGGTTGGCACAGGCAAATCCAATTTGCTGCTTGGTGAGCGGCTGGAGGGCAATCGCAGATGCAAGATTACAAGGCACACATTGATGGAGGTGTCTGCAGAGAGTTGGCAACTTCTCAGCGATGTTCAGCGGTCAGAAAAGGTTGAAGCTTATTCGAACATGGCCAAGGCTTGGGTGGCAAAGCAAGTGGGGAGCCACAAAGCCGAAAACGCTTCTTACCTTCTGACCTTCACTGGGCGGGCCCATGATATGAACATCGAAGCATCGGGCAAAGGCTTCGAGGTGGTTCGGCTCAATTCGGACGATGAGGCTCGTTTGGACGTTTCTTCCGCCATACTTGCAGCTGAAATGGCTGGACTCCCTCCTTTCCGATTGCTTGCGTTCTTGGGGGCGGGTACTCAGCAGATTGGCTCAGTCCGAAACGGGGAGGTGGCCGTGGTGGCCTGCAGCGATGGTGGGTCGTCATGCATCCCCGATGAGGCCATGCTCCAGAATTACGCAGACGTGATCGCATCAATGACAACTACGCCAGGAGCACTTTGTCAAACAGATCCCACCCTATTGACCCACGCGCTCCTTTAGGGTATGGCTTCCTTGCGATACGTGTCACCATCTCTCACAACATATCCCACAACATCTCCCACAGCATCCCACAACTGCAAATCTTAACAAGCTGGAGATAGGTTCAAGTAGATGATAAGAATCCATGAAATCTTCTGTGGGACGTACCAGGAGATCAGGACACGAAGGAAGGAGAGCACACGTTTCTCTTCTCAAGTGGCTTTGTCTATGCCCTGGGCGGCTCTGTGGATATGGCCCTCACGGACTTTGTGGCCCATGTGAACTCGAGAATCCACAGCCTTTTCGTTTTCTTGGGGCCCTTTGTTAGCCAGTCAGGCGCAGATGGAAGCATGGAAGAGATCTTCCAGTGGCTTCGTGATAGCCGCCTGGAGTTGGTCACGGAGATCGGGAAGGCACACGTGCAAGGACTAAAGCCCGATGTCGAAGTCCAGGAGGTGGAGTCGACCATCAAAAGCCTGGCGGGCTGCATGTACGCCAAGGCGGCTATAGAAGCCTTGGAGAAGATCTACGGGTCGCGATGCCGTGTTATGGCCACGCGGCAGTTGGCTGAGATCCCATTAGGCTTCTACTCGGCCATCATCATGAGGCGGCTGTTCGGCCTGGAGTGGCTGCCTGTGCGGGGTGCTCGGCAGGCTCGGTCGTGCACCTTCGAGGACCACCGCCTTTGTGAGCCACCGCCCTCCACCTGCCAACTTGCGAAGTCTTCCAAGAGCCCGAGCGACAAAAATGAATTGTTCCGTGATGCCTTTGCTGACTTTGGTGCTTGTCGATGGTTTGTGGACGTTTTTAAACCCCAAGTTGTTTGGAGTGCTGGTGATGTGTCCATGACCTGATGCAGCCAGCACTTAGAATCGTTTGTTCTGAGTCAAATGGCAAGTCGTTTAGCATCGCTTTGCAGCCCTAAGGCATGGCCTGAACCGCTGCTGGGCGGAGACACCGGCAGCCATTCCAACTGCGCAAGGCCAAGTACCAAGCAGACCCAGACCGTTTTGCCACGGTGTTTGGTCTTCAATTGTGATTTGGGGATATTCATCTCCCAGAGAAGCAATGCAAAGCTTGCCCAATTGCATCCCGAACCCTAGCGCTGAAGGGCGGCCAGCGTGTGCTCTGAAAATTTCTTTGCCGCGCACACCCCATCGGCTGCACTCCCACTTGTGCCTCAGCTTCGTTGAACACACCTTGTTCATGCACAGCCAGGACAGAGTGGACGGAATCCAAGCTGTTTACCGGACATACCAGCACATATGCTGAGGTCCGCATTGCTGTGCATGCTAGGAATGTTTTTGACTTGCGTTTTGGAGTGAGCTTTTGACCAACTCAATTGTGGTGCAACGTGCAGCTCCGTGCGCTTGCTTCTTTGTGTTTTTCTGCAAAAACGAGAGACCGCTTTGAGCCAATGCTTTGGAGCATCCTGGTTTTGGAAAATGTTTTCTTGCTACAGGCACACACTGCCGGCACCCCCGGGAAGACAGGCGCAAGCTTTTGGTTTTCGATTCTGTTTGGGACTTTCTGGGACAGACACAAGGAAATCGCAAGAAGAGAGGGAGGATGACGAGAAAAAGCGAGCAAGAGAAGAAGGACGAGGAGAGACCGGATACGCAGCTTGCTACACTTGTTGCACTACAAAAAAACTGTTGATGGACGGGCTGTTGCTACTTCGTCTAAGAAAGTTGGAATGCCTTCGGGTGGTGTGACTGCCGGATAAGCTGGTAGTGCCAGATTATTTGAACATTTTCAGGATGACATCGAACTGCTTCTAGATTGTCGTGGTGTCGCTTAAGTACGTAGGTAATCCGCTTGGCATTGAACTTATTGGTTCTGATGGCTCCAATGGGGCAAATATGCTGTTCTGTCTCAACCTATACCTGAACGTGTTTCTCATTTCATCCCTTCTTTGTTTTAGTAGCCTTTGGCACTCTTCGGTATAACCTACCAAACTTCCTTTTCAGCGTTGATTCATAACTTCAATGTCGTAACTGTCGTAACCTGTGGTGTCCAAAAATGGGTTGCACATACCTCTAATACGAACATCATCATCGGATGTTATGTTTTTTATTGGTAGTCTTTCTTTGTCAAAGTTTCCGCGTTTTTACACATATTCTATGATAGGAACATTAAGTTCCGACTGCATCAAGCGGTGAGCGACGCTGGGGACGCGGAGGCGACTGACCGGGAGACTGTCCATCCAAGAGGCCCAGTAAGCAGCGATAAGCAGCGTACCTGTCGCGGCTGGCGGCCCGGAGGCCCAGGCCACCAAAGCGCAGAGCGAGGTGCGCAGCGCGAGTTGCCTCAGGCGGCAGCGGGGCATCCGCATGGCCGAGGAGCGTGGCGAGGCACAGGAGCATGGCCGCGTCATGCTGACTTGCATATTCGGCTGTGGCGGCCGGGGGCAAATCACGCAAGAGGTAGTTCGCCCGCGGGCCCGCGCAATACAGCAAGAGCAACCACGATGCTTGCAGGTCCTCGACACGGGGGATGCGCTGGAGGACACGGTCGTGTTCCGCGCGCTTGAGTTCCAGCTGCTGCTGGATGTAAGCGTCACTGCCGAAGGGTGTGCCAAGGACTGTGAGCCCCTGTTCGGCGGGTGGCAACGCCCAGTCCCCGGCCCAGACCTTGCTGCTGTGCGGAGATTCCGGGAGGCTCCTCCCCGGCGGCGTTCCAAAGGCGGGTTTTGGAGCGGTTGATCGCAACATGTGCGTGAGCCCACAACGCGCGCCGGTATGCCTCGTACCGTTGCGTGCACCTAGAGTTTTGTGACTTCTCTGATGCTTGTTTCTTGCCGCCTACAGAAAGTTGAGGCATCTGGATCATTGCAATAGCTTCTATGCAGAGGGCATGTAGATTGTCGAGCAGTCCCAGGCATTCAAATCGGACATCAGCGGGCATACAACTTGACGCGACACTTGCGTCTTCCGGATGATGCCTCAACTTCTTGTGACAGGTCAAGCAGGTAGGCTACCTTGTGCAGTGTATGACACGCGGACTGTTGCGCCACAGGCTTGCTAGTTGGTCGATGGTGTCCATTGTGTGCGCAGCCATCATGCATGGTTCTCCGGTTGTGGGGGCGTCCGAGTCTGTGCCAGATCTTCCACGCCAATACTACTCGCGTGGACAGCTCATCAAGATCTGCTGGACAAGGTGAGGTGACGGCGCCTAATGGGTATCGAGGTAATCAATGCACGCCGTGTGTGTGGGAGGCTCGCTGGTCTGTTTTTGCCAGGGCTGTGGATCTGTGCCGTTTATTGCTGCGGCAGCCTGGTTGTTAGAGTATTGTACCTGCTCCGCGGCGTGCTCGTCCTCGGTGCTGGAACATTGTTCCCTCTGCACTTGGCGCACGCCTTTGGGTCGCCCCAGTGTGTGCCCTCTGTGCTTGGAGCCTCGCTCCTTCGGCACTGGCCGCACTGCTTCGCCCCCTTGTTGCTTTTTGAACTGCTGGCTACTTGCTTTATGGAAGCTGTGTACCTCGCGGTGGAGCACTAGGCCGAACACTTATTCACTTATTCAGGTAAGGTGCCACAGCACTGGTCCCACCGACACTTGTTCCAGCCAGCTCGACTTTGCTGCCAAGGTTTTGTGACTGAGGCATTGTCCGCAGTTGTCAGAGGTAGCATGTCTTCATTCTGTTCATTGCACAAGTAGAAGAGTTTTTGCGTGGCTTTGTTCGGGCTCGTGGGTAGGATTTCGACCTTGCTGCCATCAAGAAGTCCTCGGGGGCTTGTGAAGCCCTCTGCATGTGCCGGTGCCTCAGGCCACAGGTCGGGCCACGGCGTGTCCTCAGAGTCTTCCGCTTGCCCAGGACGAGGGCCATGCACAAGTATCACTTCGTGGCGAAGGCCGTGGAGCCCAAGCGGAGGCGACCCGAACAAGAATAGCAAGAAATCAATGCCTCCCTCGTGACGCGTGAGCCAGCAGCCAATCGACACGATGTTGGCCGACGCAGAAGCTAGCCTGGAGGCACGACTTGTCTTCGTCAAGCTTGGCCATGACTGCTTCCTTCTGTGCCAGATCACCATGACGAAGAATCGAAATGCACCAGCAGAGTTAAAGGCCCGAGTGCACGAGGGTCTTGTGTGTTCGGGCGTCATGCTGATTCGCTTCTGGACAGTTTTGGCCTTTCCTTCGCATCAGGCCGTAGAGGAGAACCAGGCGCAGCTTGACTACAACGCCTCCGTGGCAAAGCAGGCACCCAAACCTCTTGGAATGTTTTTTTCACGTTCTTGCCCGATGCTTTGCTGGAATCTGGAAAGTATTCTGCATTATTCCTGTGGGTGGAAGGACCAGCTTGCGTATGAAATGGAGCTGTGCGTCATCAAGCCCCTTGCCTGATCGGCGAGAGTCTCACCTGCACCGCCGTTTTGAACTGCCTCAGCTTCCCCAGATGCTCTAAGGTTGGCAAATGCGAACAAGCTGATCGATGGTCTATAGGTGGAGAGAAAGATCGCTGGTCCGCGACCGTCGGGGCCCCGCCCTGCCCCGCCGTTGAAGCCGAAAAGGTTGGGTGGCCCATGGTGGCCCTTTGTGTTTGGCGGCAAATGTCGACTCGCTGACCGTCGAGTACGAGTTCCTGCCAGGGGACTCCTTGATTGCTGCAGGTCAGCACGTATCTCAGCTGCAAAATTAGCTAATTAGCAGTCGCAAAGGCATGGTGGGCTACGCCGGCCCCTTCGCTGGAGAGTTCCGGCAACACTTCGAGAAGCTGTGGTTGAACGCCGGGGAGCAGATGTGGAACGCTCCGCTGAACTTGTTGCTCGTGCTAGCTGCCGCTACAGGGTAGTAGATTCTGCGTGACTTGTGCAGCCTCGAGGACGACGTGGTCATCACGCACAAGAAGAGCGAGCTTGGTCAATGACGGTCAATGTCCGTGGTCAGCGGGCAGTGGCCTCAGGTGAGAGAATGAAGGTGTCAGGACCTCTGTGGAGATGACTGCAGACAACGGAAGGCTGAGTTGCTTTGCAAATCAGGTTGTCATCCAGCAGTGGGCTGTTTGCGGCCTTACCAATGGCAATTTGTCGGTCGAGAACGGAGCCATTATTGCGACTGCAAGGCTCGCCGGATGATGTTGCTCAAGTCTTTTCAATTGTTTGTGATCCCATGCATCCCTGCTGGGCCTTGCAAAAGCGGGTTCGCTACTGTGTTGCGTCTCGACTCCTTCACTGCAAACGACTCGGCGGCCTCTTCAGGCTGAACTGCCTCCGGAAGATCTGCTGGAGGCTCCAATCCCTCGTCAACCATGTATGTCGGGCGGTTTACCTATCTTGATAGCTATCGAGGGCTTCCTCAAGCAGAATCCAACACTTTAGACTATGAACACAATGACTGTTGTGGGTGTTGCATGGGCATATTAAAATCAGGATCTAGATCAATATATAAGTATTTATTATTAGCCTGAAGGTGAATTGCCATGTTGAGTGTAAGCTTGTCTTTAGTGCAAGTAGATAGATTGTTGCTGTTTCTGCTGATGATCCCAGTCGCCTCGGAGAGGGCGCTGTGTCATCCCAGGGCTTTGTTCTTATGTGGGCATGAGATAGCTCCCTGGCCCAGGAGAAGACTCGTTCCACTACAGGGCGATCTCCGCACTGTCGTTTGATGTCTGTTTTGTGGCAGCTGCGATAGCACGGTTGCCCAGTTTTCCTGTAGCTTTTAACGCTTCAGGCCTTAGGATTGCCCCTTAACTTTGATTGAGTTGGAGACGGCTTTTGCCTTCTACGGTGCCGGGTCACTCTCCACCATTGTTTAATCCAGCGGCGATGCTTGCGCTAAAGCTGGGTTTTGCAGATTTCTGCGCCAGGATTGAGAGGCGCGAGCTGTAATACACAAGCGCCTGCCTTCCTGAGCGCATACTGCTAAACGTTTGCATGTCTAATTGGGCCGCGAACTTACCTCTGAAGGCACGGAAATGGAAATTTATTATTAGGAGGGCAACTTTACGGTGTAGCCGGGCTGGTGCTCTGTCCGAAGTATGGCCAGTACACTCATACGTATACGAGCTACAGCCCCAATGAAGCATTTACCTAATTTTGCTTAGTTCTCGCACTCTCTCCTCAAGGCCTTTGTTTCTCTATCTCTCTGTATTTCTCTCTCCACCCCCAATCCGAATATAATATCATCATGTACATATGTATAAACTTAGGAATCCATTGCCTATATTGTCTACAAGATAACTAGCACTATGAAGGTCAAGATTCTCCATCCTGAAGTGGGGTGTGCGGGCACCACGATGCTTAACCCCTTGCGGTGACAGCATCTCAGCAAGCCTGTCTGCAGCCTGCAGGACCTCTTCATCGTTGCCCTCGGCACGGGGACGATTGTAGTGGTCCGACTCCTGTGAGCACGGAGGAAAAATGTCAGTGGGCAGTGCAGGCAATGGACGGGTTAATAACACGTATTATATGTGATCGGGTTTACAAGCTTGCGTTGTACTGTTCTACAGCTCGGTGGAGTTTCGAGAGGCTTGTAATAATCAGGAATGTTATAGCATGATTTTGAATTCCTCGTTGTGCATGTACTATCATGTACTCCTCGCTAGATATGAGATCTAGGGCAGCAGGGTCCAAGAGCGGTGTATGAATGTCCGATATAGCTTCGAGCTATACTGCAAGCCAAGCAACCTCGAGGAACTCCGATGATGTTTGCAGCCGGCACATGCGCTTGAGCACGTCCACCTTGGCATTCCTGCCGAGGTGGTTTCTATCTAGATGCAACAATGGTGAGAAGCAGTTCAATGTTACGTACATATGCAATCCTACCATGACAGTGGGCTATGCACACAGTTGCTCGTTAAGTGTCTTGAAAGTGCACCTACCAACGGCATGCACATAGCTCTACCTGCACATGGAGGGCAAACATGCTCCCAGGCTCGTTGACTCCTGGCCTGATCCCTGGTTATAATTACTAAGTCTTCCGAGAGACATGGCATATGTGCAGCTATCTGGCATACAAAGTACATTCCAATGCTGAAAGCACGACACACACACATGTACATGCTGTGCATACTATCACCATGCTATGCATACGGAACCGCGAAAAAATAATTAATAACAGAATGCAACATTAAGCATGCCCCTCGGATTACATGTATACACATACGTATGCTACTATACCCTGCATTTGTGTATGTGCACATGTGGGTATGTGTTGTTTATAAATGTAGCCTAGAGTGATAGCTTGTGTATATAATATATACACATTACTATAATAATATGATCAACTAAATGGCTCCTCTGTCTCGGGGCAAGTTTGCTGATCAACTAAAGGGCTCCTCTGTCTCGGGCCAAGTTTGCTGATCAACTAAACGGCTCCTCTGTCTCGGGGCAAGTTTGCTGATCAACTAAATGGCTCCTCTGTCTCAGGGCAAGTTTGCCGATCAACTAAATGGCTCCTCTGTCTCGGGGCAAGTTTGCTGATCAACTAAATGGCTCCTCTGTCTCAGGGCAAGTTTGCTGAATCAACTAAATGGCTCCTCTGTCTCAGGGCAAGTTTGCTGATCAACTAAATGGCTCCTCTGTCTCAGGGCAAGTTTGCTGATCAACTAAATGGCTCCTCTGTCTCAGGGCAAGTTTGCTGATCACCTAAATGGCTCCTCTGTCTCAGGGCAAGTTTGCTGATCAACTAAATGGCTCCTCTGTCTCAGGGCAAGTTTGCTGATCAACTAAATGGCTCCTCTGTCTCAGGGCAAGTTTGCTGGTCAACTAAATGGCTCCTCTGTCTCGGGGCAAGTTTGCTGACCAACTAAATGGCTCCTCTGTCTCAGGGCAAGTCTGCTGATCAACTAAATGGCTCCTCTGTCTCGGGGCAAGTTTGCTGATCAACTAAATGGCCCCTCTGTCTCAGGGCAAGTTTGCTGATCAACTAAATGGCTCCTCTTTCTCAGGGCAAGTTTGCTGATCAAGTAAATGGCTCCTCTGTCTCAGGGCAAGTTTGCTGATCAACTAAATGGCTCCTCTGTCTCAGGGCAAGTTTGCTGATCAACTAAATGGCTCCTCTGTCTCGGGGCAAGTTTGCTGATCAACTAAATGGCTCCTCTGTCTCAGGGCAAGTTTGCTGATCAACTAAATGGCTCCTCTGTCTCGGGGCAAAGAAACCCTTCTGAAATCTTCTAAATCAGTTGAAATCTAATTAAGATTCCAATAAAATCAATTGAAATCATATTTCCAATTCCTTTAAAATCAATTCAAATCAAATTAAAATTCAATCAAACATGAATTGGAATCATTTGAATTTCCCTTAAACATCAATTGAATTCGAATTAAAATTCATTGTAAAATCAATTGTAATCGAATTAAGGTCCATGTAAATTCAATTGAAATCGATTTGAAATTCCATTAAAATCAATCGACATCGAATTAAAATTCCATTAAAACCAATCAAAATCGAATAAAATTCCATTCAAAAACAATTGAAATCGAACTACAATTCCATGAAAAATCAATGGAATCGAATGAAAATCAATTGAAATTTCATTAGATACGGCCAAAATCGTGCTAAAACCAATTAAAATCGCATGCAGTTCTTTGATATAGAACCCTTTATAAACCATATGAAAATCAATCCAAACCTAGGATGTCAAGGGAATTCGTAATTCCGTTGGGTTTTCTATTATACCCCCCCATGACCTCTATCTGGATTTATTATTTGTTATTCAGGGGGTATTATTACAGAAGAGGTGGCTGTGGGGCCTGGGTTTTTGAAACACCACATTTTGAATATTTTACGTATAGGATGACTTTCAAGATCTAGAAACCCTGAACATTCCCCCCAAGTTGCAAGGGGCAACCATCAAACCAGAGGTTTATAATTCAATAAGCAGTGATATCACTGTTATCATGCAGTAAACGGGAAACATGAGAGATTGCTGGAAGCCAACTTGCCGAGGATGCTAACTAGTATATTATACTTTATTTCATTGGCTGTAGTGGCTCCCATGCATTATATATCTAGCCTCATTTCCATGCAAAACCCTCAGAAACACCGTAAATACCGATGAATTTGCTGTTTAGGGGCTTGTAGGCTTTCCTATTGAAAGTATATAACTTCAGTTCTTGATATTCTGGGCATCAATATGTGTCAGCTTCATGTCGCTAAAACATAATTAGGAATCTACGGAAGGTTCTTAGTGTCCCAGAACTACGCTGTAGGTAAATGTTCAGAACCTGTTATGAAGGAATCAGTCAAGATAAATACCTAAAACCAAAACGGAAAACCCAACGGTTTCGCTCCATGACGAAGAGAGTAATTAAAACTACTTTGTACATCAAGACGTGGGGAGCTTGCATTCTCATTGGGATCTGTTGTTCAATAAGAGTCCGAAAAGGTTCCATTCTCATTCACAAAATCGATAAGCTTCACAGTCACAGTATGTTCCAAGACCCCTCCCCCCCCTCCCCCCCAAGAGTCTATAAACAACAGAAGAGTTTATAAACACATGG